AGAAAGATTGTCATATTAGTAGGATTTCTAGATTTCTGTGTAATAAGAATCTAATCGTAACGAAAGCCGACAAGGATGGAGCAGTGGTAGTCATGGCTAAATCAAGTTATGTAGAAGAGATGCTAGTTTATTGAACTGACAATGACACGTATAGAACTTTATTGAGACCCAACCGAAAGACTTAAGACTAGGCTAAAAGATGCCCTTAAGGTATGCGTGAGTAATGGTGAAATGGAGAAGTGGAAAATGAATTAACTACTCCAAAGAGATGCAAGACCCCCCACCGCTTATGGTCTCCCTAAGTTTCACAAGGATGGTGCCCCCCTAAGATTAATTGTAAATAATAAAGGAAGCGTGATGGATAAAATCTTACGGTTAGGTAATTTGTGGGGCTTGCAAAATTAAAAGGAATATTATAGCTGATGTACACCATTCTTGGTGTAACATGGTAGAAGAAAGCTCAGCTAGGGAATCTAGAGCCCGTAGGATGGAGATCAGTCAGGCCGTGGACGTGGTAAATTCCCAGACGTTTCGCCGGCATCGTCAGTGAGTATTGCCATTCTTAGCATTATACTACAACTCGTCAGAGACAAGTGAAGCCATTCCTATGACTAAATGTGTGTTACTACCTTCTCAGATCAACGGCCAATCTCAGTAATAGCTCATGAACACCACCGACTCTTATCTCTGCAGCCTGGGGACTCTTTATTTACAGCCCCGTGGTGTCAACTTAGCTTCTAGCCTACTAGATGTCAAATGCGTGCATCTTCAGGCATCTTGGTATTAATGCACTGCAATCTCGAACGTCACTATTCCTTTTATGCATCCCTCAAGGTGCAGGTTTGGTCAGTACTTCATTAAGGTAGACAGCGCTCAGCTAGTTTCTAAGCCTTAGAACGACAGATAGGAAGACCAAGATGTCTCGGCCTCTGGTATGGTCACAGTCTCCTTTCGATTTATAGAAGTGGATTGACCTCGTTGTCGCAACTTGGTCTTGTCGTCAGGGCGCCTTAATAGAACACACATTGTCTTAAGTCGTCTGTCATAGCAGTTGTCATGATTCCCAGCATCAGACAGTGGACTTGGTACATTCACAACGTTTCGCCGGCATCATCAGTGAGCTTTGCCATTCTCAGCAACAAGCTACGAACTCCTCAAGGAGACAAGTGAAGTCAGTCCCTCGACAAACGTTCTGCCGAAAACGGTTACACTATTACTTCTCTTTCTGTACTTGCTATTTCTCAAGGCCATAAAAACACGTACACAGCCGCTTCACTGATCAGAGCGCCTATGCTTGCAGATATCAGGACTTCCCTTCACGGGTCCTCTTCTCTATTAAACCCATGTTATCTGAGCAAACTGTGGACGCCTATCTCTGGTCGCATGCGGCATCTCAAGTGGATT